ATATCTCCAATAAGCCATTGCATCAATTATTATCTCTTTACATCCACCCCTTCTGTCCTTCATAAATTGGGAAATATACAAAAATTGAAAATAGTAAATATATACTTTTTAAAAAAGAAAAAAATAGACCACTTACAATATTAAAATAAACCAGAGAAAAAAAACCTCTGACAAGAGAAAAGCAAGAAATATTTAAAACTAAAAAAAAAAATCTAGAACAAATCCAGAATTGGTCAAGAGTGACATGATATACTGTAGTTACATACACCATAATCAAGTTTACAATAATCTGTCTGATAGCAAGGTCATTTGTGTCCCTCAAGTGTGGTCAGAGGGGATCTACCAGAGGCTAAATCCATCTAGGTACCCTGCATATGGATTTTTGGCTCCCAGTGTCATCTACAGCCTTTTGCAAATTAGAACTATAATAATTTTCCCTTCACCACATTTGTCATCTTTGGATCTCACAGGCTGGTGTGCTTCATCCAAGTGGTCTTAGTTGACACCTCACTTAGATAGCTGCTTGTTTGAATACAAGCCTTTAATCCTCCAGATGTTAATCTTTTTGATAGCTGGACACCATCTTCACTACACTTTATTTTCACATATAACATATATCGTCAATGATTTCTACATGAGGGCAAGCATCGAGCAGGACCATGTCCTAAGAACTAAATGTTCTTGGACTGTGGCTAGAATTAAGTTGGACTCCAGAATCCATTCATTTGTCCACAGATTACACATGCCTCTTGTTCACTTATAAATCATCCCCTTGTGGTGTAAGGCCATTCCATTGATAGAAGCGTGAATTTAGCCAGTGGCATAGAATTTAATATGTTATTGAGAAAAGAAGGTTATGCAAATATAGACAAACTTTGAACCACAATCCATACGTTTTTTATTTGTACAGGTTGAATTCTTAAATTATTGAACTCTTTTGACATTGACCATGGGGGTTGGGGCTAGGGGAAATTTTCCAGTAACATCATTTACAAGGGCAGAAATTTACCTGTCAGATTAATAAATGTCATATTAAAGCAAGGAGGAAATTAAAATAACAAATATATAGTGGTTTTAGGCCACCTTTCATTAGATGCCTATAAAGGCAGAGATCCTAGCCAAGGTCCAACAACTGCTAATTCCACAGCCTTGTGGAGGTCATCATTTGTTCATTCTTTCACCAAGCAATTTCAGTCTTAAGTCCAAGGGCTACAGGTAATTTTGAAGTAGAGCCCAGTTTATTCCGTGGGGTTTCCACTTTGTGTCCTTCTGGTATGACCTATGAGGGATGTCATGTTTCCCAAAAGACAGTCTAACAGAAGCTTGCTTTATGAAAGTGAAGAGTATTTGTTTTGCTCTGAGAAGTGATTAGACCCTTTGGTTAAAAACTTGGAATAACACATATAAAACACTTAACAATGTAATATCAGACAGACACTGAGCAAGTGCTATATTTTATTAGTCACCTTTATAATTTTGCCAGACTCAAACTCCCAACTGATAAGCCAGAATCTGCACTCACTGTTTCTTAGAGAGAATCTCTGCTGGAGAGTATCACTTAACTATTTCTATTGGGGCCACTATACAATCATGAGCTTTAATCTGACTAGATTCTCAGTATTGTCTCTTCAGTCTTGTTACTGGAGTGACTAAAGTCTTCAGGTCCCTCCCCTTGGTTCTTGCCATGCTTGTATGAAAGAAATCAGAAAAGAGATAGGAGAAAGGTTTGAAAAGTTATATCCACCTTGGCTTGTGTGGACATACATCTCAGCTAATCTGAAAGCACCTGCTAGATAAAGATGAAAGGTTCTATACTGTTGATGACGGACTTTGTCATTGGCTGAGTTTTCCACAAACCTTCCACAACTGGCTGACTTTTCATAGTATATCTCCCCATGACAGATGGTGTATGTACATTCAAAGTTCTTACTGTGCCCTTGTTTCCTAGCCCAAACTCAGGTGTCAATTCCATCATTTATGGGGGTTATGTGCAAATCTTTTTACTGCCTACTTTTCCTTGTGTTAGAAATTCCTCCTCTCTCGAAAACTACTAATAAAAGAAATGTGTCTTCTCTGTCCTTCACTTCACTCTGTGCTGGAATTCCCTTCCTCTCCCCCTTTGCCCCAAATATATATATCTAGCAGTCCTCTTAGTGATTATCTTCTATCATTTTACCTAAATGTTAGATGCAAACCTGTGGCATATGCATGCCTCAAAACTTCTTCCAATGCCAGGCATATATTCCCTAGAATTCATTGGCTATCTCACCAATTAACTGACAGAAAATACATGTATTGGTGTAAAGTCACTTATCTGCACCCACAGTTATTCATTTTTCCTTCCCATATTCTCAGAAAGAAAATCCACCTTTTCCTGCTCTTTGCTAAATTTCCAGCTGTTATGTTGATGCCATCCTCTCTCTCATCCACATAGATCTTGCTCCATCAACTTTCCTCTTACCCATATTTTAACGGATTCCTATTCATTAGCTTTACCCTCAATGTATGTTCATATTCAAGCCTATCTGATCATAAAAGAAAAATAAATCATCTTTCACCTTACATGTTCCTCTGGCTGTTTTGCTCTATTCTCTGTCCTCCATTCCAGTCAAGCCTCTAGAAAGTACATTCTCCACTGTAGTTATGTGAAGTGTGGCCCATTACCAACATGAACATCACCAATAAACTTGATAGAACTGAATAATCACCAGCCCCACTCCAGACTTAATCAGAACCTTCATTAAAATTTTTTTAAATTAACTATTTTTGGGGGGGCTCTTACATCTCTTATCACAATCCATACATTCATCCACTGTGTCAAGCATATTTGTACACATTGCCATCATCATTTTGAAAACTTTCTTTCTACTTGAGCCCTTGATAGTAGCCCCTCACTTATCCCCTCCCTTCTCCAACCTTCCTCCCTCATGAATTTTTGATAAGTTATAGATTATTATTTTCATATCTTACATTGTCCTCTGTCACCCTTCACCCTCTTTTCTGTTGTTCGTTCCCCTGGGAATGGGTTATATGTTGATTCTTGTGATCACAAGAATCATTTTTAAAAACATCCTCAGATGATTTGAGTACATATTAAAATTCTAAAGGAACTTGTCTACACTGACTCTTTGCCTCATATCTTCTTCATTCTTTAATTCAACCTGTTTAGGGAATAATACTGATAGTGCTTTAATGAGCATTTCTCAGTCTTTCCCTTACTTGAACTTTTCTATAACTGATATTCGTCATGCTCCCAAAACTTTATCTTTCATGGGTTTCTGTAACACATTTATTTCTCTCCAGCCTCTTTCTAAGATTCATATTTGTTCAATTTTTCCTTATATGTGATATTCCCCACAATTCTGTTCAGGAATATCTCTTCTTTTTCTACATATATTCTCTTAATGAGGTCATAGGATTTTAGCTATTCTACTAGCTCCTCAATCTCTATTTCTAGCACCAGTTTAGTCTTAGTGACTACAGCTTCTACTGAGTGAAAAATAGACTTCACAAATTTATAACTGAAGTCATTTATTGTTCTCTCCACTCAACCATTCATACCCGAAGCAAAACAACAGTTGTTTCAGTATCTCATTATCTCTCATCTGAACAATTACAGTGTGTTAGGCCAGGCTGACTGTAGAAACAAATCCAGTAACACTCATACATGTGTAAGTAATTACTTATTTATATCAAGAAGTAAGTATATATCAAGTAAACGTCCCAGCTCAGTCCAGCTCAAGTCCATAAGTCCGATACTAGTCCATAAGTCCCTCTTGAGACTCACATAGCCTCATGCAATGATACAGAATGCATGAAGATTACAGGCTGGTAGATGCACAGTATGCAGCCAATGGGAGTGGCCATATCACAGGGCTTGCTCAAGTTTTAGCGTGGCTCACTGGCATAAAGTTGAAGGCAGAGGGCGGTGGGTGGGTGTGCCCAGGACTATCTTTATGAGGTCACGCCCACAAGAAGACATCATTAGGCTGGGACCGGATTGGCAGGCTAGACTCCACCCCTACTTCTTTATAGCTTCTAGTTGATAAGAATTTCTGTAACAACCTCCTAATTATTCTACCTGTCTTCAAATATATTGTTACCAAACTTTAATCATGTTAAATCATATCAATAATTTTACTGTATCTGTATACCATCTATTCTATTATTTTAAAAATTATTTCATATTAAATTCAATTTTATTATCTAAACATGATCTGAAGTATTAATTATAGTTATAAAATCCATTAAGATAAATTCATAATTATTAAAACAAAGAAAATGTTCTGCACTTTGAGAAACACTGACATATAAAACCTATTACTTTGGCGCTCAAACTGTGGCATTTATATATTCATTCATGATTCTGCTAAAACTTTTAATACAGACCTTATGAATGGCATTGCAAGGGACTGAAAATAAAGTGAGACAGTAGTGTATTTTTGATATGATTATTTGTCCTCAGCAGTTAGTTGAACTTATTAGCCATTGTAACACTGATATTGGATTGTTTTACAACCATTGCCAGTTTTATTGGTTGATTGCTTCCCCCTCCATTACAATTTATAAACCATTAATGTACACAAACTAGGAATATACTAAAATATGTTGCAAGAAAGAAACTTAAGCGATTATGCTAATCATCTATGTACATTAAATAATAACCACAAGTTCAGACATAATAACTGCAAGAAACAATTAACAGCCACAGAACAGAATACAGGCTCTGGCCCAAACAATAACTGTCTATCATTTTGGTGTTTTTGGCTTACCCATTGCCACTCCTATAGTGGGAAAATAGGAGGAGTATTGGTCTTGCTGGTGTGGCAAGGAATAATTTCAGTTATCAAAGACATTTTTGTGTGTGAAGTGTTCATCTTTTAAAAACTGGCACAGAGTGCCTACCTCTTAATAAAGCACCTTAATTTTCTCTTTTATAAAGAGAGAAAAAATAATATACTTTGGAAGATTAACCTTCTCTTTCTTTTTTCTTCTCCTAGATCCCAAATGCCCGGGGGATATTGATTTTCATAATAGTGAATGGGATATTAAGACCATCACCAGCTCCTTGAAATTCTATCTCAGGTGTGTTTGATTTGGGGACTTCGTTTTTCATAGCTGATCCTATTTGTCTGAGTCAAGGTAGTAGTTAATTTGATTCCAGTTTCAAGAGCTGGGGTAGGTTTAGGGTTGTGGATCAAGGAGGAGTTCTGCCAAAGAATATGTATTGAGTAATGTAAAAAAGCACTAAACTACAATTCAGGAATTTAAGGAAGAAAGGCACTGACATAATAGCATTTCTATTGAATAGGAGCTTTAAAAAGATTATCAAAAAAAATTATGTCCTTAGGTGAAAGGAAACAGAAGAAAGAAGTAGGAGGCAAAAACTGTTTATAGAAGTATAGCTATAGGCATGCATATATGTAAATATATTAATTTATAATGAAAGAGATAGAGGCCAATGTACATATATTCATATGTTAAGTATTAAGAGAGCAGACGGACTTTGAACCTCTACTCAAGGTGTCCCTAAACACAAGAACACTTTGTTCTAATAACTTGGCACTCTTTTTTTAAAAAAAATCATTTTATTGGGGGCTCATACAATTCTTATCACAATCCATACATTCATCCATTGTGTCAAGCACATCCGTACATTTGTTGCCATCATCATTCTCAAAACATTTGCCTTCTACTTGAGCCCTTAATATCGGCTCCTCATTTCCTCCCCTCCTTCCCCACTCCCCCCTACCTCATGGAACCCTTCATAATTCATAAATTATTATTATTTTGTCATATGTTACACTGTCCGACGTTTCCCCCCCTCCCCCACACTTCTCTGCTATCCATCCCCCAGGGAGGAGGCTATACGTAGATTCTTATAATCAGTTCCCCCTTTCCACCCCACATTCCCTCCACCCTCCAGGCATCGTGACTCTCACTACTGGTCCTGAAGGAGTCATCTCTCCTGGATTCCCTGTGTTTCCAGTT